TTGTCAAGGAATGTCCAGAGCCAGTAGGTGCTGGTTCATATCATACATGTAGTTGATAGGCATCGCCATTTTGACAATTTAACTATGCATTTGACAGAGTGTTCATTCAAGCCATTCATTCAGCTTGAATTCATTCAGAGTGTTCATATTTGGATGGATATGCTCAGCTGAAGATGAATTAACCTTCATTTAGGCTACAACGAGCCGAAAACGTCTGCTATTTCGTGGGCAACGGAATGTGCAAGTTTTAATGAAAGTGCGAAGTCCAATTACCAACAATCTATGTATGTACAATATTGTATTGTCGACTACAGAATGATGTTCCACTTTTCAGACAATTATTTGCCTGGAGTGGTAGGCTGTGCCGCATCACACAGGCTGAGTTCACAAATTATAGCTTTGTCCCAATGCTTACAATCGATACGATTAATTGCGTGATAAACGGCACAACTTAGCGCTCCGGTCAACTGATAGCTTCTGAGGAGTGGAATATCATTCTGTAGTTGACTATACTCGAGGGCAGCGCTTTTCGAGGAGCGCTGTGGCCCGAAGGTTTGAACTTTGAATTGTGAAAAACGCCCGCCCGCCGCAAAACGCAAACACCGCAAAACGCGCAAAACGCACGCCCGAAACGCCAACGCAAAGGTCGCAAAAAATAAACAAACGCCCGCCCGCCGCAAACCGCAAATTAAAAAAAAAACGCAAAAACGCCGTATCATTCTGTAGTTGACTATACATACAGCGCTCTATATGAGAAGCACTTCCGAAAGAATTCCGAATTGGTGGAAAAGTGGTTGGAAAGGATAAAATTCAATGGATAAATATCGGGAATCTAACGGCGCTACTCAACGGGGGGCTCCGTGTATGGCTGGCAGAATTCGGAGAGCGGCCGCCAAGTTTGGTCGTTCAGAGTGCAGCGCGGCTCCGACCCGGCCCGGCCCCAATACCGTCCCCCGGCCCGAACGGGTCTGGGAGGGCGGTCGTCGTCTCCTCGGCATTCAATTCTGGGAGCGCGCCGCCGCGGCGACTGGAGTCTGATGTTGTGGCCGTGGCCGCTGTCTCACTTCGTCCGACCATTGGTGACCGACTCTCTCCTGCGAGCTCCACTTCTCATTAAAGATAATCATTTGTTTGGCAGTAAGTACTTACTAGGGGCAGGGTTATTAACACCCCCTCTAACTTGGCTCCTGAGCCAGGTAGCGACACACACGCGATGAGCAGCATCCGAAAGAGCGTCAGATCATCAAGGAAGCACTCGGTCATTTTCCGGGTCACTTCAAAGGTTGAATCTGAAACAATGCTGACTGCTGACATTGGCAAAATTTTACCTGTGATGACATTCGTACACTCGCCTTTCGAACTGGCCTGAGAAATGACCGAGTGCTTCCTTCATGATCTTCGACGCTCTTTCAGATGCCGCTCACCGCGAGTCGCTACCTGGCTCAGGGGCCATGTTAGAGGGGATATTCAAACACCCCTGGCCGGGCACCGGCCCGGCGCGGGTTAAACCAATAGAAACGTTGAGCGCAACCCTTGGGACCATCTTGGGACCATCACAAAACTTCGCTCAAACAACCCGCGGCTGAACATTGGAATTGAAGCTTAATGATTGCCATCGAACCGTCTATTTCGTAGCATAACTAGTTTCATTGCAACATACCTAGGTAGTTTGCATTCTAATAACTAGTGAAATTGCAAACTACCTGGCCGGTCAGGTAGTTTGCAACGTAACTAGTTGGGTTGCCAACTAACGGATTTCGCGCACTAAACTGTAACACATAAACTGTATCTCCCTATTTGCGATCCAGTGTGCACCGTCTCGAGGGGTGCATCAGCACGTGGCGACTGCCGGTCGCGCGAGCTGTCACGACACGCGGCCCTCGGGCGCGCCGGGCATTTTGGCGGCGATAAATCGCAAACACATCATAGCTGTCACAAGGGGCGCCCGGCGGCCGGGCCGGGCCGGGCCGGGCCGGGGCCGGGGGCCGCGGCGCCATTCCGCGGTGATTAGCCTGCATTGATGAGCTCAAATTGCCACTCTGTGTAATTTTACGGCCCGTAACTGCCTTTGCAGAGGCGATTAGCTGCGCGCGCGCACAGCCTGGGAGTGCTGGGTCGGGCGGCGGACGGCCACACCGCTAAACGGTGTCGCCGGCGAGCGGGGCTGGTCGGACGTTCTCAGTCGCCACTGTGCAGCGGGACGGGGTCGCTAACACGGCACCGCGGCAGCGTGTGCAGTGTGCACCTATGCGCCGAGCTGGTACTGACGGTGTGACAGGTACTTACACCGCCCCGGCCCAGGTCCTTACATACATACCAGCGGCAGGCACGGTGAACCCGCCGGCGCGGCGCGGTAACGCTCCAAAGCCAATGTGACGGAAGGCTTTGGACGCTGACGCGTCATGTAGGTAGCGAATGCGGTCTTTTCTTGGCACGTTTCTATGAATATACCGTAATTATTGCTTATTCTAAATATGCATGAACGTCACCTTCTTAAAATCATTGGGAGGGTTTTACTTTAACCCGCGCCCGGCTGGGGGTCCTGGATTTCCACGCCCTGCTGGGGGGGGGGGGTGTTTGAACACCCCCCCCCCCTTGTAACTCGTCTCCTGGGCCACGTAGCGATACGCAGAAGGCGGCGTTCGAAAGAGCGTCGAAAATAATGACGAAATCACTTCGGTCAATTTTTTGGTCAGGTCAAAGGTCAGGTCACCAGAGGTCATTGAAGGCAAAATTTCGCCGATTTCCAGGTCGAATGTCGAAAATTTCCAAGAAGTCAACGCATAACTCGGGAACCAATAGAGCTACAGCGCCGCGGAAAAGCGCATTCGATAGCCCTATTAACGCCCTTTCTGAATAATTCTCTCAGATTTGACCTAACTTCAATGGTTTTGCCGGCAGGGGGCAAAAACTGCAAAAATAGCCGATTTTTTTCGGAAACAGTTTTTCTGCAATAACTTTTGACCCAAGCCTTGTACGAGCTTACTTTTACCGGCATCGTGTTCCTCTCGTCAAGACGCATCAAATGAACTATAAGTTGACCTTGAAAGGTCAACTTGAAAATTTGACCCCAGGTCAAGGTCATGACCTGACCGGAAAGGGTCATGTTGCATATCAGTCGATCCGTATCGTCGAGCTGAACACATCTAAGGCGTTTTTATCGCTCTAGCATGCCTCTATCAAAAGTTATTTGCGAAAAACTGTTAGATACCATTCGTAACCTAAGATGACCTCAGGGCATAAACAAGGGTCACGGACACCATTTTCATGTTCAGTGTGTCTAAAACACTTGTAATTCGGTGTTTGGGAGTGGTCTTTCGTCCAAAAGAGGCGCATTTCAATTTTCTCCCATTGACTTATAATGGGGAGGTCGCAAAATTGACCTGACCTTAGGTCATCGATATCAAAATTCTGAGATATACATTTTGTACATGCTATTGCTCTTAGCAATCGCTGAAAGTTTCAAAGTGATCGGTCACTCGGTGTAGCTATGACAGACATTGAAACTTTTTATGAGGTGAGGTCACTTAAAGTGACCTGGTGACCTGACCTTGAATGACCTTGGTCTGAAATTTTCACAACATGTGTAGAATTGATGTATGATAAGGTGTACCAAAGGAGCGCCGCCGTTTTTGAGATATTCGCGAAAAACCACAAGGGGGGGTGTTCAAACACCCCCCCCCCCCCCCAGCAGGGCGCGGGTTAACATTTTAGTATCTGTTTATGGATTATGATAAAATACCGAAACTATTTGTAGGATTCAGGCCCCATACCAGGGTTATTAACAGCATCAAATAAATATGTAAATATTACAGATACGTACCTAATTAGAATGCATTCAAATCTAAGCTATCGCCCTTGCAGCGTGCATTTGACCGTTGCTGACCTCAGAGTGACTCCGTCGCACCACTGATTGCGTTCGTGTTACGAGAACATTAGCCCGTAGCAATTACGATGCGTTCTCATGATTGCATCCAATCCACCTCTTATGTGGCAATGGACCTCGCAAACGGGTTTTGAGCCATCATGCATCCCATTAGCTCGTACCCAAAGTGAGCCAAAATTCAGCGCATTGACCCACTCTCACATTTCCCGAGTTCGACGAAGTTAAATTAAGCACATCTACGCAGAGCCTAATCCATGGAAGCTGCAAACCGGGCTGTTGAAAGTTTGTTCAGCGCCCGCCGAACCACAAACCAACCGAATGTGCGTATCGGTGGCGCAGATTAATGCGCCCGGTCAGATCTGCACTAGAGGTGGCAAATGATGAAAATTTTGGGAACCAGACTCGAACCAGACCCGGCTGGACATTTCTGGAACCAGTCGGACCCGGTCTTAGTTGGAATCGGAACCAGTTGGACCCGTTCCCCAAAAGTCAATTAATAGAAACTGCTTGTAGGTATCATTAGTTGCATCATGTAAAACAGCCTATTTCCCACTGGGAGTACTCATGAGCTGTGTGCAAAGAAACATTCACTTCATTCACTTCATATTTTGCAATAATGTGAAGTGCGCAAGATGTATAGTTTATGGTAGGACCCGGTTGGACCCGTCAGAAAATTTCCAGGAACCGGTCTGGACCCATATGGGTCCAGACTGGTTCTTTGGACCGGGTCCTCGGGTCCACATTTTGCCACCTCTGATCTGCACCACTGGCACATGGCGGGTGCAGCATCTGCTGTACAGACCACTGCCCAGGACACGCTCCGGCGCCCGGTCAGATCTGCACCACTGGCACATCGCGGGAGCAGCATCTGCTGTATAGCCCACTGCCCAGGACAAGCTCCGGCGCCCTGTCAATGTCGCACACGCTCTGTGCCGGACTCAGCCTTCGAGTCCACCCCTGAATTGGTGCGGTTTTTGCCAGTCATCACCAGCCCTCACACATGGACTACGACGACCACTGAATTGGCGTTGGTGCACCTGACTGACCTGGTGCTGGTGCACCATCTGCTGGACGGCGCCGCTGATGCTGTGGTGCGTTGGTGCACCTGACTGACCTGGTGCTGGTGCACCATCTGCTGGACGGCGCCGCTGATGCTGTGGTGCGTGGCCGAGCCGGGTGAGCTGGCCGGCGACTCGTCGTAGTCGGGCCGCAGCAGATTCTCGCTGTGCAGCTTGCCCTTCAGACAGGTGATGTAGCGGCTGCAGAAGTCGCGGCACAGGTCCTGCACCTTCTCCAGCTCGAGCAGGTGGACGCGCAGCACCTGGATGGCCTTCACCATCTGACGAACAGAGAGAACGGGCCGCGGTCAGGCGGCGCGGCGGCGCGCGGGGCGGCGGCCGGCCGGCCGCTCACCGCGGGCCGAGTCAGACTCAGAGGACGGGCACTAGGTGCCGCGGCGCTGCCGTCCATCTGTACACGACACAGCAGCTCCGGCTGGCCGCCCCAGCTGCCCGGAGCCTTCTCTGTACCCACACACCCAGCCGCCCGGAGCCTTCTCTGTACCCACACACCCAGCCACCCGGAACCTTCTCTGTATACCCACACACCCAGCCACCCGGAGCCTTCTCTGTATACCCACACACCCAGCCACCCGGAGCCTTCTCTGTATACCCACACACCCAGCCGCCCGGAGCCTTCTCTGTATACCCACACACCCAGCCACCCGGAGCCTTCTCTGTACCCACACACCCAGCCGCCCGGAGCCTTCTCTGTACCCACACACCAGCCGCCCGGAGCCTTCTCTGTATACCCACACACCCAGCCACCCGGAGCCTTCTCTGTATACCCACACACCCCGCCGCCCGGAGCCTTCTCTGTATACCCACACACCCAGCCACCCGGAGCCTTCTCTGTACCCACACACCCAGCCGCCCGGAGCCTTCTCTGTACCCACACACCAGCCGCCCGGAGCCTTCTCTGTATACCCACACACCCAGCCACCCGGAACCTTCTCTGTATACCCACACACCCAGCCACCCGGAGCCTTCTCTGTATACCCACACACCCAGCCACCCGGAGCCTTCTCTGTACCCACACACCCAGCCACCCACCGGCCTTCTCAGTACCCTCCCACCAGCCTCCCACCCGCCGTCCCACCACCCCTCCCACCAGCCGTCCAACCACCCCTCCCACTAGCCGTCCAACCACCCGTCCCACCTGCCCGTCGGCCTGGACGTACGCACCAGCTGGTTGACCTCGGGTCGGGCGGCGGCCAGCAGCTTGTGGTCGCCGTGCTGGTGCCGCACGAAGGCGCGGACGTCGGCGGCCACGGAGTCGGAGACGCCGCCGTCGGCCGAGCGCATAGCCACCTCACACTTCTCCAGGAGCAGCGCGAGTAGCGGGAACAGCGGGTGCCTGCCGGACGGCCGGCGGCGGCAGAGCACAACTCGTCAGAGAGGGTGGCATCTAGTGTGTACGGAACGGAGAGCACAACTCGTCAGAGAGGGTGGCATCTGGTGTACGGGACTCCGAGCACAACTCGTCAGAGAGGGTGGCATCTGGTGTACGGGACAGGGAGCACAACTCGTCAGAGAGGGTGGCATCTGGTGTACGGAACGGAGAGTACAACTCGTCAGAGAGGGTGGCATCTGATGTGTACGGGACGGAGAGCACAACTCGTCAGAGAGGGTGGCATCTGATGTACGGGACGGAGAGCACAACTCGTCAGAGAGGGTGGCATCTAGTGTGTACGGGACGGAGAGCACAGCTCGTCAGAGAGGGTGGCATCTGGTGTACGGGACGGAGAGCAAAACTCGTCAGAGAGGGTGGCATCTGGTCTGTACGGGACGGAGAGCACAACTCGTCAGAGAGGGTGGCATCTGGTGTGTACGGGACGGAGAGCACAACTCGTCAGAGAGGGTGGCATCTGGTGTGTACGGGACGGAGAGCACAAGTCGTCAGAGAGGGTGGCATCTGGTGTGTACGGGACGGAGAGCACAACTCGTCAGAGAGGGTGGCATCTGATGTGTACGGGACGGAGAGCACAACTCGTCAGAGAGGGTGGCATCTGGTGTACGGGACGGAGAGCACAACTCGTCAGAGAGGGTGGCATCTGGTGTACGGGACGGAGAGCACAACTCGTCAGAGAGGGTGGCATCTGGTGTACGGCACGGAGAGCACAACTCGTCAGAGAGGGTGGCATCTGGTGTACGGGACGGAGAACACAACTCGTCAGAGAGGGTGGCATCTGGTGTTTACGGGACGGAGAGCACAACTCGTCAGAGAGGGTGGCATCTGGTGTGTACGGGACGGAGAGCACAACTCGTCAGAGAGGGTGGCATCTGAATTCTGATGTACGGGACGGAGAGCACAACTCGTCAGAGAGGGTGGCATCTGGTGTGTAAGGGTACCTATTCAGCGGCCTCGGGCGGCTGTCCTACTGCATTAAAGGGACCGTCCCACCTTCAAAAAAAGTTATTGAATTGGCATAAGATTGGTGTTGCATGGTTCAGAGTCAGCAAAAAATGAATATCTACCAAATTTCGTGGAGAAATATTTGCCAGTTTTTGACATATTAGGCAATTACTTTTATTTATTTTTCGGAGCCTTCGCTGTTTCTACGACGTCATTTGGAAGCAATAGTTTGGTATCTTAAAAGTGCGGCAGATGTTGCGCACAAACAGCATATACCACCACTGCTTCACAAAGATGTTAGTATAAGCATTCAAAATCGCTAGATCTGCGCTGTCGTCACAAATTCAAAGGGGGCATTCAAATGCATTAGCCCAGGTCTGAATCCAAAGTGCTGCAACTTTGAAACTAGATATCTCGGAATTAAAACCTTTCTCGATTATGTGATTGCCTAAACCGGTAATTGCAGGCCAGGTTCCCAAGTAGGCAATGTCAACTCAAAACTGTTAAGGGGGATGTTCCATATAACCCGCGCATGACTGGGGCGGGGTTATATGGAAGGCTCTGCAGAGCCTACCTCCGTTTTTCTGCAATATCTTCTAAAACACTAGACCTATTGACACGAAACTTGTAGCACAAATTTTACATTTTTACCGTGGTCATTTTCAGGTCAGGTCAAAGATGACGTCACAGGGGTCAAAAAGTCAAAATGGCGGCGCTATATATGAGGAGGTTTTCTTGAATAACTTTCGAAGTAGCGAAGCTAGAAACAAACAAATGTCCGCATCGAATCATATATGTTTTGACCTCGAAAGGTCAAGGTCAAAGGTGGACCTCAGGTCACGTGACCTCAAGGTCATCATGCATATCGTTTGATGCACCTTGACGAGCTGAGCACAATGGGACCATCCGTGTGACTGTATCTCGTTCCTGTAAGGAGAAATTACAAAAAAAAATGGTGACTTTTGAAGAGGTCACATGACCTTACAGTTTCTCAATAGCAAAACAGGCCTCAAGGTAGTCAAGGTTGCTCGTATCTGAAGTCATTTATGGTACTCGTATGTTGGGCCATTCCGATGCGTTTTAGTGGAAAAACAGAGAGTTGATTCTTCCCCCGTTAACTTATATTGGGAGGTCAAGAAATTGACGTGACATCGATACCCAAATTCCGAGAAAAACAACTTGTAGCTACTACCGGCCTCACTACATCCTGTGACTTTCAAGGGCCTCCGTCATCTACTGTAGCTCTGACACGGTGACAAAGTTGCAAAAAAGTGGTTTGAGGTTGGGTCATTCGCAGTGACCTGGTGACCTGACCTTGAAAGGTAGGAGATTTAAATTTGCACACTATATGTAAAACTGATGAGAGAGTAGTTCTGCCAACTTTAGCGGCGCTACGCGTCACAGTTTTTCCGCTATTCACGAAAAACCTCAGGGGGACGGGCGGTTAACCACCCCTCCCCCCCCCCCCGTCGGTTAGCGTTTTAAGCTCTTTTGCTTCCTGAAGAAAATAGTGGCTGCGGCATAACATCAGTAAGTGTTGAGCCAGTGTAGCAGCACGTAGCCCGTAGGTGCTGCCGTGGCGCATAGCTCAGCCGTCTAAGACGGCGCAGACAGGTGTCAGAAGACTGATACAGAAGGAATAAGCGCGCTGTACACAATGTCATCACTCATCAGCGGAAAGCGTTGACATGCTATCGTATGCGCGTTATAAACTGCTGACAAAAAAAAAAAAAACCAGTTGGGAAGTGGTCACTGAGTGCAGCAGCCATTCAGACGGAAAAGCACAGCATGTTTTTGCATATTGCGCATATACGCCTATGCGCCTATTTTGCATATATAGGGTAGTGTGGGGTAATTTGAACATATTTTTACGTCTTCTCCGTTGTACCGAATTCCAGCTCAACCCTGGATGAAGAAAAACTGCTTCAGTAGCGCAAGTGTCACTTGCTTTCACCATGAAAGCCTCATATTTGGACGAGCCGAGCATACCTTGAATAGCATAGCCTCACTTCTCCACCAAGTCACGGTGTGTTCAAATTGCCCCACCGTGGGGTAATTTGAACATACTGCCTTTACCTGTCATAAAAACGATAGTCTCGCCAGCACCGATGTTGTTTGACCCATAAACAAATAGGCAGAACAATTCTAAACATACCTTCACTTGAAAATCAACACTACAACATAAATAACTTGCAGAGTATCAATATCTGCACGCTGCACACCGGTCAGTTGACAGAATTCGCCTCTCTTCAATTAACAGAACGTCTATCATTTTTGTTCGATAAAAACTCTCCCAACCTTACTGCATCTGTTATAGTGGTGCCAATGGGAACCTGGACATTCGGAGTTCCGATTCTTTATAATGTCCAATTCGGAATTGATTGCACAAAGGTATAGTAGTCTGGACAACATTGGACGATGGCCTGCCACACTTAAGCATTTTTATCAAGTAATCGTGCGCAGCATTGATTGGCGAATGCCGAATGGAAAGCTTGTTAAGCTCTCAATATAATGAACACTTTTCGGCTGGTAAAATTACATTATAAGCAATTTATATGACAGTTTTGAGTGTTGATTTATGCGTAATTTTCGGACATATTTGGACAAATGGCTGACTTTAACATTTTTGAACGGAAATCAACGAAAATGCCGGACATTAGACGGATATTAGACGTAAATCTTATAGAACTGGCATCACTAATCTGCTACTGCTTTGGGTCGAAAATATTGGCCAAAAAAAAACTGGAAGCGTTGTTTTTTTTCGAAGCTATCCCTGTCTTCATTGAAATTCTTACACGATGTTCAAATTACCCCATGCTAAAAGTTATTTTGCCATTGCCATATTTAAAAACAGGTTTCAAAAGCAAATTTCTTGGATTGAAGGCACTGATTAGGTCATTGTACAACAAAAGCCGTTGCGTATTAGGCGCTAGCAATGCAAGATTTTGCGCTGCAATGAAGTTGCAATGACGTTTTTTTAGGCGTTTTTACTTGCGAAATTGATTTTTTACCGTGTGCGTCAACATCTTCATTCCCTGAAACTTTAAACCCCGTTCATATGATAGCCTTTTCAGTTACGATAATTTCCCTCAATGGTCTTATTGTCATGCCACTAATGCATTTTCCGTAATTTTGTGTTTTTCACACTATGTTCAAATTGCCCCACATGTTCAAATTACCCCACCCTACCCTACCTATACTTTGTGCATATTGCGAGTGCATTTACTTATCAGTCCGCGGGCACCAGGTAGTGAATCACATCTATAACGGGGGTGGGAAGCAGTGAATCAGTACCTTACCAGTAAATTCCTGGGGCGGACGCAGTGACTCGGTAGTCAGTCGGGCTGGGACGCCGCGGCTCGGTACTCACTCGTAGACGGCCCTTTTGTCGTTGTCGAACTGGACGCGGTCGGCGATCGGCGGCTGGCCGGCCGACAGGTGGTGCAGCTCGGTGGCCGACTCGGCCGGCTCGTCACTGGGGGATCCCCCGCGGCCCGGCGAGCTCGGAGAGCTCATCTGCAGCCGGCCCTCCGCCCTCCGACCTCCGCCCTCCGTCCTCTGCCCTCCGCCCTCCGTCCTTCGCCGTCCGTCCTCCGCCGTCCGCCCTCCGCCGTCCGCCCTCCGCCCTCCGTCCTCCGCCGCCGGCCGGCTGTCGTCACCGCGCGCCTCGTACCACAGTCTGAGAGCGCCCTCGCCGCACTGTGGGAGAAGTAGGGGAGAGTGGGGGCAAACGGTCACCTTAACGCTTCTTGCGATGCTGACGCCTGATTTTTACTCTCGCCGGCGGAGGGGGCGAGTGCCCCCCCCCTCCGAAAGGTTTTTTTTTTCGCGATAGCTCCGAACACGCTAGCGATAGAGAGCTGAAACTTGGCATACCTGACCTTTGATTCAAGCCAGATCTTTTGACACCATTCGCATTTTCAGGTCAGGTCAGGTCACTGACCTATGACGTCATAAGTGAACCTCTGCACGGTCTTCAGATGTCACAACTTCGCAACGCCCTCAGTGCCAGAGGAGCTTTCACAGGGAATTGAAACTTACAGGACCTGGTATCCATTAGGAGTCTCACAACTTCTATATCTCGGATTTTCCCGAAAGGTCAATATCTCGGATTTTCCCGAAAGGTCATATGAAGTCAGCTCATTTTCGTGACCTCACCATTAAAAGTCAATGGGGAAAAATGAAAACTGCTATTCTAGCGCCGGGAACGATCTCCAATTATCTCAAGCACACAGAATCGTGATTTGATGCACTCCTTGCAAGGTCAGATGCGTCACTTTTGCAATGTTGACCTTGCGTGGCGTCATTTATGACGTCATTAGGGACATATTAGTTTTTCGTCAATAACTCCCGATCAAATTGAGCTAGCGAGACGGGAAAGCCACCAGAGGACTCAGGCAGACCTGCCAAATCGAATGATATACGACATAACCTCCTCCGACCAATTTCGTGACCTGGGGGCGCTGACTTCAGCGTGACCCGAGGTCAACACCCTAAATTGACCTCAACCAAACAAAAGGTATAACATGCAAACAAAAGGTCAAATCAGGTTCAGTGTGTCTCTTCGTAGCTATCAGCTAGGGTTGCACTAATTGCTTATATGCCTGTTTTGTCTTATAATCAGATAGAATACCTAAGTATAATATATAATATATAGAATAAGTATATATAGAATAAAGAATAATCGATTAAAACACTAAAATAAATTCATAAAATGAAGATATTTATTTGTATTTGTATTTATTCAACAGACCGTCAACAGGCATACACCAACAGGACACACATACATGATGGGAGGTGTATGTCTTGATACATCTGCAAAAGAAAAAGATCTGGGAATCGTCATTACACCGGACCTCAAGGTCTCAGAGCAAGTGACCAGAGCAGCAGCAGCAGCGAACTCCATGTTAGGAAGAGTGAGGAAAACATTCACCTACATGGACAAGGGAATGTTTCTGCCTATTTACAAAACTCTGGTGCGCCCCCACATGGAGTACGCCATACAAGCCTGGTCCCCGTTCCTCCAAAAGGATATCATGAAGCTGGAGAGGGTTCAGAGGAGGGCTACGAAGCTCGTCCCTGAACTCGCCGACCTTCCGTACCCGGATCGTTTGAAGGAACTCCAGCTGACAACACTGGAAGAGCGAAGGATCAGAGGAGATATGATTGAGGTATACAAACTGATGCACGGGCTCGACAAGGTGAATGCTGGAGAGGAGTTCCTGAGAATGGAGACTGGTGCGAACATGCAGAGGACGCGGGGACATGCACTCAAACTACAGAAGCCAAGACACCGGCTACACAGGCGGAACCAATTCTTCACTTCGAGAGTGGTGGACCACTGGAATCAACTATCATCTGAAGTTGTACTGAGCAAGAACACCAATACCTTCAAAAACAGATATGATAAACATGTCCGTACACTGAGAAGAGGCAGCATCCCATGAGCAACCCGCTCCCTTTGCCTCTTTCCTTTCTACTTTGGTAAGCATTCTACTTTGGTAAGCATTCAGGCACTTGACCCACTAAAAGACGGAGTCACAAGATTAAAAACAATACCTAAATACATGTGCACATGGCACACACAGGCAGCATACACACGCCCGGATAAAAAACGCAGATACACATGTAACTAAAATAGAAAACAATGAACAATACAAGGAAATGGGCAATGAAGTGAAAATATGAAGAAAAAAATGTGTGAACGACCACTGAGCATGAGTTTTAAAATCCCATGTAAGGTGGGAAAGAAATCATGATACATATAAACCAGAATAACTGAACAAACAGTAAATATGAACACTGAGAGATAAACGGTGTATAGGTACTTTAAAAACACGTAAAAATGTATAAAGTGAAATGAAAAATATAAGAAAACATTAAAAATAAACATATCTAAAATCATAAAAATATAAAATCAATAAGAATCACCTACCAACAGTGACTAGTATAGCCCGGAGGTGGTGGTAAGTTCGCAACGTATTTGATGACATGAGCTTTGTACGCAAAAAAGCTGGTCGTGAAAAAGTCGTCTTTGAAATGAGCAAGGAATGAGTTTGTCTCTCTCGCGACACGACAGACCAACCCGTTCTGGACCGTGCTGATTCGGGCGCGACTCTCAACAAACAGTGCTGCAGTGCGTGTCGGTCGGATAGGCACGCGTAAGGGGAATCGGGATAAGAGTATCTCAGAGTTCAGTTTCTCAGAGAACAGACCCTTTAGGAACAGGAGGTCGTGTTGGGCTCTTCGAGAGGAAAGGAACGGGAGACGGAAATGCTTGGAGAAATCTGGATAGGTAAGTGATGGGCAAGGATATGTGCTGTTTAAGAGATTAGGTGCAGATTTGGTCAAATTAGGTGCACTCGCCGGATAGCCCGTCGTGAAAACGCTTCCTTATACCACCAGATGGCCGTCGTGAAAACGGCTTATACCAATGGCGACAGAGTTCCGAGACTAGTGGTTGCAGAATGATACTATCTGTGTGAAATGGTGTGGCGATAACTTGGCACGTCATAACGCTTGAAATAAACTGGTTAACTAAAATATACATCATTCCAAGCACCAATAATTATCAACCGTGCGCAGGTCACCAGTTACACTTAACCTTACGACAAAAGCGTAGATCGTTAACACGAAGCAAAGGGTCAGTTTAAGGCCAGCATCACGGAGGCAAATCACACTGGCGCATGTTCCACTGCTCCGCCCGCGGCCATTACCATTCCGTTCCCGCCATTTGCGTTGTGCTGGCACATTACAGCGGCAGTTACAGCGTCCGGCCGGCGGACCGGGCGGCCCGGGCGGACCGGCGGACCGGGCCGACTGGCCGGCAGCACGGACCGACGCACTGATGGACCGATTGACGGGCGGACCAACAGCGGACCGGGCCAGCTGGTCGCCAGAACGGACCAACAGACCAACGGCAGGCCAGGCGGACGCTTATCATGTATAATTCTTTATGAATTTGTGTTAGATGTGCATGGAATATCGGCCGTAAATAAAGAGTGAAATTCGGCTCTCTTCAGGTTAAAGTTCAACGAACAGCGAGCTGCCGCAGCCCGAGCAGCCGGCCGCACGTGACGCCGATCAGCCGCTGTCGCCGACGCTGAGAACCCGGTACGGACGCGAGGTGCGACGTCCGGTTCGTTACGGATTTGATGAGTGAGACGTGTAGAGGACTATCGTTCAGTGAGACGTGTTGAGGACTATCGTTCAGTGAGACGTGAAGAGGACTATCGTTCAGTGAGACGTGTTGAGGACTATCGTTCAGTGAGACGTATTGAGGACTATCGCTCAGTGAGACGTGTTGAGGACTATCGTTTCTGTCCTGTTAAAGGTAGTGTGCCAGCTTTCCTGGACCGTATGGAGTTAATGGCCCAGATAAGGAGAACCGGATTTTTAGAACTTATCCATACCTTCAAAACTCATGGAAACGTCTTAAATTCTTCAAATTTTGAGTACCCCAGTGCGAAATTCGCCCCGACGGGTTGTCGGTCGTACCCCAACCACATTTCACACCACTATGAACAATAAATGCACACACTGAAATCGCTATTACCGATAGGCTCATCCAATCAAGTTTCGATAAACCCGTTCATCATCGTCTCCTGTGGTTTCGAACACGCCTGTTAGGTGGTGCGGTAGACCGCGCCCAAAGCCAGGGCCCCGGTAACGTGAGGAAGCCGAGTCGGGGCAGCGTGCGCTGACCCAAGCCGGGGCCGCGCGTCCTCCCGGTGTCATGTGATAGCCCGGGGCTGCCCGGGGATGCGGTAGACCGCGCCCAAAGCCGCGGCCCCGGCTTGGGTCAGCGCACGCTGCCCCGACTCGGCTACCTCACGTTACCGGGGCCCTGGCTTTGGGCGCGGTCTACTCATACTTTGTGGTGCGGTGGTGGTGCGTCGGGCCGCGCGCTCTGACTTCGGCTTAGAAAAATGCGTCAGCTGATCTTGTCATTTCTGCCACTTTCATGTGGTGAGATGGGGTCATAACTTTAGAGACGTCTGTTTCATATCAATTATTTTACATAAAATAATATTTCAAACTATAAATTAATGTTCGACAGCCAAATTAAAGAAACAATACCAATACAGGCTTACAGTTTAAATTCGACATTATTTTGTCTACGATTAGACAGCTGATAACTCATTCCCGTACGTCGTAACTCTATGATGACCTTTGCTTATTGTCACATGTGCGCTGCATTCGCGATTGTTGCGGACGCCTGTTTGCAGGTCAGCCCACTACAGTTGTTATACATATCGAAAAACCGATAAACTTTTAGGCGAAAAAAGCACTATTTTAAGCCCATTTTTGTTTTGTTTTTTTTTTGCGATATTAGGTAAAAACAGAAGCTTCTTATCCTAAGAAAAATAAAATGGGAAATCATTTGAAGGTGGCACACTACCTTTAAGGGGAGGAGAATGTGGTGTCGCAATGTCACGTGAGGTCGGGTCACAGGACCAGTGCTGCCGCCTGGTGGTGACACGACCCGGGTACGACCGGCTCGCGGAGCGGGAGTCGCCCGCTGACACTTGAGCCGCGCGGAGCTGCGCTTACGTTATTACTGTGTATTGTTATTCAGGGGGGGGGGGTGGATTTCGCCCACCCCTCCTGTTTTTCGCCAATAACTCGCGCCGCAAACATAATATTAATGTGAAATTTTGGCTACCTGTCCAAAATTGAATTGCGGATCTTCTCGTGCA